AACTGCCAGTAAATGTAAAATTAGAAGCATTTAATATATATTTCTTTTTTGACGTTCATAAGTGTACATTGTGTTATCTACATGAATAAATGATTTTTGACTTGACTTTTGAATACTTGTTATTTTATTAGGCTTTTCGAATAATTATAATTTAAGTCGAAAATATATTGTATTTATCTCACACGAGGCCACCGGTCATTTGAAATGGAAATTATTAATCTCATTAGGCCCGGCCGGCCCTTTGATTGTCCCCTCCGGACTGGACGTGTTGATTTTTATTATTAAATCCGTCTTTAGTTTGGGCCATTGTTGACTTTGATTTGTGTCAGCAAGTTTTTGTTTGATTGGAAGTTTTAGCTGACCCCTCGTTCAAAAGTATGTAATCGAAACGGGCTTTAGACGTCAATTTAGATTCTTATTGTATCAATACTGATTTTAAACGGCAGTTTATTTAAGGGTCAAACGTGATTTAAAAAAAAACATGGCGATTAAAAAGAGTGGCGGAGAGTTTATTGCCAGTTCTTCTCTTCCGTTCTACGCCCTTGATTTGAGAACTGGCACTTAATGTAAAATTAGAAGCATTTATATGTATTTCTTTACAGACAAGTCATAAGTGTACAAAGTGTTACCAATATGATTAAATGATTTTTATTTTTTTTGATTTACAAATATCAACAACAACATCTATTACAAGTTCTTCATGTGATATGTTTCATTGCTGTTTATTTATTTCTAGTTTTGTTTATAAACTAAAGGAAGACAGAATCGCATTTCGCCTGTCCATTCCACTTAGAAGAAAGATAAAATTTTTCTTTTATCAATACGTAAGCCGTTTGTTGTTTCAAAGACAAAGCCTTGTCTAAACCTCAAACGATAAATCCCCTGGTGTCCAGTGCAGCTTACGAGGCCACAACTGAACCGCAAATTTATCAAACAAAAACCATTCTTATTTATTAATACATACGGTCTATGTAACCGCAGCTCTAACGTAGGACAACCGTGCAGTGTTGGCTTTTATTGCAACCTAGCTGTAGGAAAACTTACCTTATTGTAAGGGAGTAAGGACGCGTAGGAGAATGCGTTTCGACGTACAAGTCACATGGTATTTGTCTTTGCGTGTCGGCTGTGCTCAAATCGTTTCGTATGTATCAACGCATTGACGTTGACTGGTTATATTGTATTTCACTGGGTCATTCTATTTCTCCAAGACGTACTGTTTTATATATTCAGATACATAAAGAACGTGTGATTATAAGTAGAGTTGTGAAAACATACATGTATTTCGCTAGACTCTAGATCGTAATACTATTTTGTTAACTGTGTTTACTTTACAAATATTGTAGCTTTCAAAATTTTTTCACGAAAACCAGAGAAAAGGCAATTAGTATGTAGGAATTTCAAAATTACAGTGTATATTAAAAGTGTACCACAAAAACGGTTTGTTGGCCGTCGATACACAATTTTATACTAAAATAATAAGTCCTGAAAATAATAAGTCAAGAAGAACGTCACACAATTGTCAGTCGTCAGTATATGGAGAAATTATATTTGTTTGGGAACAATTAGAGAGGTTAGACTGATAACCTACTCATACTTTGCCTTACAATAGTTCACAAAACGCACAAAACAAAATTATAAAATTGAGGACGTAACTATTAACAAATATATTTAACTAAAGATATAAATCAGAATAAAAATGTGTCTAACATAATCTGAGTAAAACAAAGCACTGAAGCCGTCAAAATATGTGACGATCAACCGAGGAAAAATATTTTAGACTACCCTCATCAAAATTTATTAAAATAAAATTATGTATTTCGAACAACCTTTAATAAAAAAAATATAACTATAGAAGTAGTTCTTAATGCTTTGAGTGCTAAATCCAAGCTGTTCTGGCTCTTAATTAAGTGTAGGACATAGATTGCGGTGTCCGTGCGCAGTAACGCACACGGTACATTGAACACAATTTGCGAGCTGCGTTACTACCACGATTTATTGAGGTTTACCGAAAAACTTTTACAACTATTTCGGGTTCTGTTTGTTTTAGCATATTTTAACCACTTTTCTATCTATTTATTAATTGACTTATTTAATATCAGGAAAGCTTTGATTCTTTTCTTCGATATCATTTATCCCATAGTGATATTCTTGCTAAAGTAACGCTGGTTAGGACAAAAGTAATCCTCCTGCCTTGTGTCATTTAAAAAAATCAAGAATATCTATACCTAACCCATCTATGCAGGTTTGTTTATACTGTTTTTATATTTATTACACACAATATTGCTGAAGGACCCCAAAGCTGCGGGCATTTTTGCTCATGTCATATAACATGTACGTTAGCGGGCAGAATGTCACGCGAACTTTTTACCAACACTTTGTTTAGAACAATTCGTCGGTAAATTTTATTGAGGGACTATATTTCAACCGTGATTTTTACACTGAATAAGCTGTTACTGCTTTTTTATTTTAAATATGTATTCGTGTGTAACGAAGTTTTGTTTCTAAAATGGACTGTGTATGGAAAATTGTGCTACGAGAATAACGACTCAACCATGTTTTAGTCACGAGAATGGACTTTAGTAAACTTACTTTTAAAACGTGTATGAAATGCTAGTTCTATGTTATAGTGAGACACAAGTGCATGATGACCTTACGATACATTTAAATACAAATAGTATTTAAACCATTTTATAAGTTAAAACCAAACAAACAAATTATTTCAGATCTTAAGATGAACTCTCAATTTCGACTGTTTGTAGATAGAACTGGAATTAGTTCTTTTGATTATATCTACCATAATTTTCAGTAATACTTGTTAAATAGACGACAACAAATGTGTTATACTAGTAAAGATTCATGATAATTTGTAATATAACTGAAAATTTACACCCAAAAGTTTTCAGTTGGGAACAATTATCTTGCGACTGTTCGCTGTTTAGCATCTACTGTATGAGCTATAAATTAAGACAAAACATTGCGCCTTATTATTATGGCACAGGGGTGTCCATTCACTTTCATCTTTCTTTGAACGGAGTTGCATTATATGACGATTTCTGTGAATACAATTGTTAATTCTAAAATGTAAGTGTATTAAGTAAATCCAGAATCGTGTTGGAAATAAAAAGCATCAACTAATGGATATTTTATTGGTTGTACCTACAATCTGTGACTAATAACTGTAGCTACACTGAATGAGTGTGGCGTAGTGATTAGATACCTCGTAGGCACTGCGTAGCCATAATTAGTAGTTGAAGATGCTATTTTTTTAATTTAACTAAGACATAACTTGCCATTTGATGTAGGTACGTGCAGAATGAAATCTTAGTCGCCCCAAACGAAGGGGTGCGAAAAGGAGAGTTAGTTTTTAAAACCAGACGCAATAAGCCCAAAAACCAAAAAGTGATTGTGTATTATAATTTCTCAACTTGTCTAAAACATGGTAATTAAAACCAATAATAAAAAAGTGCCGATGTTTCGTTAAAACATTTATAGTTTTACGACAAACTTCAAAACCTTAGATTTGTCTATTTAATGAAATAAAAACGTTTAAAATAATATTCATAAGCAAACCCGTAACGTGTGACAACGAACCCAGACCTCGACTTCACGGCAGTCGCACGTGGCTCTAACGACTCAACTGTTTGATTTAAAGTCGCAACAATTGTGTTTACGACTTCCTCTTCCCCCTTCCCCCTCTTACTGGAGATAACTTTACTACTGATTCCTGTTAATGGGCCTTTGTTTGAATTACCTGATTAAATTCGAAAATTGGGGAATTTTGTTTTTGAAGTTTTAAGGTTAATGTCGCATTTAGTGTTATGATTTATTAGTTATAGTAATAATATAATAATAATTTGATTAAATAAAATACTTGATAGTTAATAAATTATTGGTGAATAAAATGTACATAAAATTTAAAATGAAGGTATAAAAAAGATTGCCAAAATAACGAATCTCATTAGCAGACTGAAATAAAGTCTTACATTAAAGCGAACAATTCGGTTAAAAGCCGTAATAAACCGATGTTTAACAAACACCAAAGGAAAGTAATACTTGCTGAAATATTCCAATGAAATATGTATTAAATTCGCGGCCAGTGAGATTAAGCCGCTGCGAAAGATCGGATATTAACTGATCGTATCATCCACTATAAGCGAAGCTTCAATTTAAATAGTTGTTAAAGGCTTTCTTAGCTTTTTTAATAGTTTATGATATTATAATGGATAATAAAAAACCTTCTTGCTCTGGTAAAAAGAAACATTATTGCTAACTACGATACGTGATTTTTATAAATAAACTCTCACATATTTTTTTATTTATAAGTTCTAAAATAACATGTACAAAATTATACAATAAAATATGACATTACAAAATTTATACACATTCACATCAAAAATATTAGAACAAGCAAGATAGCAAGGGAAAAATTAAACAAGCAACCACAAAATAAAAAATAAAAAAATTAATAATAATAATAATAATTTTGATGAAGACGTAAAGGAACTAAAACTATATTTTTGTAATATCGTTTTTGGTTAGCTCTTTTTGTAATAATAAATAATTATACTTTAGGTACGTCACCAAACAAGTAAACCCCTTTTTATATTCTACCTTACTTTTATTCTTACCACTATATCTATAGCACTATAATAATGTTATTATTTAAATATATGGTTTTAGATGTCGCACTATTTATAAATAATAATTCGACAGCCTTTTTATATATATAGTATATCTTGGGCATACCACATCTTTATGTGGACGTAGAGCCTGCAGGTGTGCGGGAAGCCAAGAATTTAATCTACAATGAAAGAAGTCGAAGATCTTTGTGCGTGTCACCTCACTGGCCTCCTTACTGAAGACATAAACTAACGCAACGCAGTTTAACATTTAGTTTTAATAAATATACGTATTAGGAAAGATTTAACCCTTTATCGTCAGCTATGGGAAGTGTGCAATGAGGTGCCAGGTACGTCAGTTATGCAACCCCGAAAGCGGAAATGGGTGGGCGATACGCTCCAGATCCAAGTCAAATTGCCAAGCCCTTGCCTGGAATCCCCAAAAGGAAACGAGGCTGCCCAAAACAGACCTGGCAACGAAGCGTTAATGCAGAGGCGAAGGAACGACGTGGAGTGAAATTAAGAGATCCTAGGACAGATCAGGCCGGTTTCAACGCTGAATGCCCTCAGCCCCACTTGGAGGACAAGTACATTGTTACAGAGTTTCAAGTCAAGTAAGTCAAGATATCCTGATTGACTTTGATTTACATCGTACAAAGCTGATAGACGTATCATCTTAAATCAATGGCACAAAGATTAAGCATTATTGCCGGAATTATGATTTATTTATTGAATCCATTCAACATTCGCGGTCTTTAAAGATAATGCCTTAGAGTCAAAGCCTTCTCCATCATTTGTAGTTCCGCGTGACTTTCCTTACAATTCAATATCAGCCCTTTGTAGCCGGTTTTCGCTTTAATAAATGCGGCGGGTCCCAATTTCGGCTCAAATAATATTGTCACCTCGGCTCCTGAAGCACTCTCCTTTGGGTATTTAGCTTATTGTCGCGAGAAATAGACTCCTTTAGCTGAAGCTTCTTAAATTCTGGTTTCTTAAAACGTTATAAGATTTACCATAATGGAAGGTGGTGCTTTCACCGTTACATATAATATATAGGTACGTAACGGCTGTTGCCTTTTTTTTATGTAGCAGGAGGCAAACGGGCAGGAGGCTCATCTAATGTTAAGTAATACCGCCGCCCATGGACATTCATACCAGAAGGCTCACAAGTACGTTGCTGTTTTAAGAATTGGTACGCTCTTTTTTTGGAGGACCCTAAGATGAATTGGTTCGGAAATACTTCAGTGAAATACGCGTATTATGAAATATTGGCATTTTAAAGAATTATAATTTTTTATTTTTATTTTATATGGTGATACCTTAAATTATTCACAATGTGTAAGCCACTTTTAAGTAAATACAAATTACTTGTGCAAGCCCAGCTCTTCCAATAAGGTTTTACGAAAAAAATAATTACGAACTCTAAAATTATCGTCCATTTGAAATCTTAATTTATTTATTTTTCGCAAAAAAAAATTAAATTACAATGCCTACTTGATATTAATTTTGTAAGATACTGGCAATGAACCAGAACTGATAAATATGTAATCAAAACAAAATTGAAACCTTCAAATGAATGTTGCTTACAAATATTAATCCATTAAATATACAATAGCTCGTCAATAAAACTCTCGACTTCGAAATTACAAATTTAAATCACAAGATAATTTGCTTCCAAGGCCCCTGTTAATTTCACGAAGTATCCAAAGAGTTTAATTAAAAATTTCAAGAGTGCAATCAAAACAATTGAACAATATTGTCTGAATATTGATCCTTGCCCTGTTTAATGTTTGTCGAACAATTTGCTTTCCTTAAGTCAGTCCAGGCGTGGAACTTTTAATAAGATCCTTCTTTAATCCCAATTTGGATGTAATTAAATTACTTATCGATTTAAAAAGTGAAATTTATATCAGACTCTTTTACTTTCGAAGCCACTTTATGAATATTCTGATATTATATATATACGTGAACTTCGTTTCCGCTTAACATGATTGTTTTACTTAGCCTACCTTTTTAGTAGCTACATACCAACATATTGAACATTTTTACTACTGCTTGTTTTTCCGGAATAAAAACCTAAGAACTCTTCCAGAAAACCTAAGAAATCAAGGAATAAATTTAAAAAAATACTCGCCATGGTCCAGCCGTCATTGATTTTTGCGCTTCATCTAGTTATATAGATACAGCGTGTGTATCTTTACTAACTATTATATTTACTCTTGCTATTCGTTAGTGATATCATTAACGCAGTATCGCTACAAAGTTATAATTTGATATTGCTCTTTTTCCTAACTCAAATCTTCTCTTTGAATAAAATAAACTTTAAAGTTTTAAGATTTTATTGTACATTAAGATTTACCAACACCACGATCTTAAAACGCAATAAGCTCTCCTGTCTCAATTGTTTAAAGATCTTTTAACCCTCTCCTTACCTCTCCTTAACGCTTCACGAAACTGGAGTATAAATTAAAATTTAATTGATTTTAGTTTTGTTTTTACTAAAAAGTAAGTAATTAGGAAATTTTTTAAGTGTTTATTCAGCGAGTATTTTAATAATAAATATAAATTATTAATTATTAATATTATTTTTCTACAGGTGTACAAGCTTCCTGGTTATAGAAAGCACACGATAAAGTTTGGTAATCTATCACATAATTTTTGGACCAAATAAATATAAATTAAAATATAACATACACCGGATTCACAAATACCTTTTTGACAAGATCAGGCGGTGCCATATATATTTATTTATTTATAGCCACGTAAACAAGCCCACAACAAAAGACAGAAAAAAGGAAAGAAACAAGTTATACAAATGATGAACTAATGTGTGGCCTCAATAATAAATGCGGACGGATTGCACAAATACAATGCTTATAATATATATGTATAATATTAATAAAAAGTCTTTAAATTCTAAAAAATAGCAAAAGACCCAAAAAAAAGTAATAACAGCCTTTTAAATATTCCCTTCCTGTAATCGGAAAAAAATTCAAGATTGGGCCCTGCAGCCGTTTGCACTAACGGTACACGTTTTGGTGGGATCCAACGTTTATTAACTTAAATCAATCGAGTTAATTAGCAATTCAATAAGCTCCATGTCATAAGTTTGACAGTTTTTTAATAATATTAAATAGAAATTATATACAAATAAAATACTAAAAGTCGCCTATGGATACTTTGACCGCCTAGTGTAATAATTGGTTTATTGGCAAAAACCTACCCGTTATGTAAAAACCCCCCATAGTAGTATCATAATATCAGACATCGAATAGCTAAGGAAATTTGCATGAACAAACTCAGGGAAAATGTATTCAATTAATATAAATGGTAATTCGGCTTTCTGATACTGATTAAATACGGGAGATTTTGACGACGCAATCAAAAATTCAAAACTCTCAAACTCATTAATTGACTTAATTTTTTAAGTAGTTAAGCGTCTCCTTAAAAACGATAAATGATTTATGTTTTCGTATGTATTTAACGATTCTTTAGAACTTATTATTATTACTCAGTTTGAAATAAAAAGTAGGGATTTCATTTATAAATCACATTTATATCTCTGTGGGATGAAAACGGACATTTATTGGAACTTATTGTTTTAAAATGTCACTAACAAAAATAAGAATATTCTTCGAATTGAAAACTGTTATAAAGTTTAGTATATAAGTTATATATTAATATTATAGACATGAGTCACAATGGCATTGGTTTTAGCTCAGAAATAGTCAGTTAAATCCGGAGAATAAAATAGTAATACTAAATATATTAGACATGATGCATAATATTGAAATAATAATTTCAGTTAATAATAAATTAAATACAGTATCATTGGCAATTAATGAAGGACAATAATAATTATTAAATGCAAAAGGACAGCCGCGTGTGAGCTGACGCGGCAAATTTGATCGCGTGGTTTGGCTTAAAGCCGCGCTTAGTTATTAATATACAGCAGGTATTTTATTTATGTTAAATAGATCAAGGTTGTTACTTTAATAATTTCTTTAAGTTATTTTTAAAATGATTGTTCCACCACTTCGGCCACCGTGGCAGTACTTAATGCACATAACATACAACGCGATCTTTGCTAAATAAACAATTAATTATTAAGGTTGTTTTTATTTTTTTTTTTTTAATAGAACAGAGGGCAAACGGGCAGGAGGCTCACCTGATGTTAAGTGATACCGCCACCCATGGACACTTTCAATGCCAGAGGGCTCGCGAGTGCGTTGCCGGCCTTTCAAGAATTGGTACGCTCTTTTCTTGAAGGACCCTAAGTCGAATTGGTTCGGAAATACTTCAGTGGGCAGCTGGTTCCACAAAGTGGTGGTGCGCGGCATAAACTGCCTTGAAAAACGCTCAGTTGTGGAACGGCGGGCGTCGAGGTGATACGGGTGGAATTTCGTACTCTGCCTCGACGTCCGATGACGGAACTCGGCTGCAGGTATTAATCCGAACAACTCCTCTGAACACTCTCCATGGTAAATGCGGTAGAAGATGCAGAGTGACCCCACATCTCTACGCAACGCCAAAGGATCAAGCCGCTCGGAGAGGTCGATTGGTCGTCGACGATTCGAACCGCTCTGCGTTGAATACGGTCAAGTGGAAGGAGCTGGTACTGGGGATTAATTTTATTCAAAGCAGGTACTTGAACGAAAGTTGATGGTGTAGTTACAGGGTCGTACTCATTCTGCCCCATGCCCCACTTAAAAATTACAGGACTTAATGTATAGATATAGCTTAAGAAAATACTTGTGGTAAAGGCACATTGATTATGTTACTGATACAAAATAACCATAACTTTCTTTTTATACAAATGCTAAGCTATTTGTCGGCAATTTTCATATAGTTTTCCGAACAAAATATCTTACTGAAAGATAAAATATGAGCACCCGGTATAATCCGCAATGGCGCGCTATGATTCGCGAGCAAAGAAGCGTGAAATTGCTTTATTCGCCCGAACCGATGAATAATTAATATCGTAACTGTAACGTGCGTCTATCCGTACGGGGCTTTAGATTAACGCCTCCGTCATACAGTGAGCGACACGAACGGATTAAAACTGAAAAACGCACATAATTGACGCAAGTCAAAGTCAGCGATGTATAAAAATGGACAGCAAAAAAAAAATGTTTTTTCCTAAGTATAAAGCTTTCAAAACGAAAAAATGAATATCCAGCAATACTCTAAATAAGTTATAAATATAGTTTGGAAAATCCAAAAGTGCACGCCTCATAGCGGTCATTCACATTAAAAAAAAAAACATTCGTTTACATTTATTTTTTATTTTATTTTTACTTCTTACTACTTACTTAATATAATAAAAAAATATATAGTGGCGCCATAACTCTAAGGTGAGGAAAAAATATACTAATATTTTAGTTTAAACGACAGTACTTAGAACGCTAATATTAACTAGGAATCAGCCCAGGGTATAACTTTATATAATAAGAAAAAAAGTATACTGGTACGATAAATTTTCGCCAATTTCTCTGCCACAACATGGATCCATAAACCACGGACGGACGTCCAAGAATGATTGATTTTAATGTTATTATTTACTATGTTAAACAAAATAATTGTTCATAAAAAATACCATATGTGCTTGATAGATTATTTAACTCGATTTTAGTGCACTCCTTATGCTGTAAGTGTTATATTAGTGAGAAAAAAGTCATTCAAGTTTCGAAAGACTGGGTTTTTTGACATGTCGAGAGTAGAGCACTGCGAGGCGTGCAAAAGATAACGTCGATTTTCGAATTTCTTTATTTTAATAACTGAAATTGTTTTGTATACAATAATTCTGTCGCATATGAGATGAGAATGTTAAGAGGCTTTACCATCTTGAAAAACTTCGGTTTATTTATGTGTATATCAGTACCATTCGGCTTAACTGAGATCGCATCTGCATACATAACGTGGGAACTGCGCCGGTGCCTCAATGTTTTTGCGTTAATGGAATTTATTAACTAATAAAATATGAATAGCGCTCAACATTTGCATTATCTACCTGTCATCTCTTGATGGAATATTTTGGGAAGAGTTTAATTTTCAGGGCTTATATATTTATAAGTGAAGCCACGTTATTGTTTCTAAGTAAATATGTATTTATTTTAATGGAGCTTCTTTAGCGGATTAAGAGGTATATATTTCATAACCTAAATATATTGTTATGAGTGATATATAGCAGTCGCCGCTAAAGATTCTCCGTGGTCTAGTCGCATCGCAAGACAACAAAACATGTACTTTTGTTTCTTTTACTGGCGATCTCAAGGTATTTAGTAAATATATTTAATACTGTATTTATAATTCACAGCTTCTAAAAAAGGTAATATTTAAAATAAATAAGATTAAAAATAAGGCCTAAACGGATTACACCATATACAGGCAAAAAATTATGTATATATTATGTTAATCTTAATATATATAAATTACGTGTCACGTTGTTTGTCCGCTATGGACTCCTTAACTACCGAACCGATATCAATCAAATTTGCACACCGTGTGCAGTTTGATCTAACTTAAAAGAAAGGATAGCTTAAATCTCAATTTATACCCGCAATATTATTTTATTGCAAATATTTGTTTGTTATTTGACAGTCACAATTCTGACAGATGGCGCTGTGTTGAAAGTACAAACGTTTACATAAGCTATAATTTAATGGCAGTACCACCAAAAAAGCATGGTGGTCCCCATAACTGGTGTTCTCCTACCGTTTCCCTTGAATAGTTTACTACTATGTAATATTACAAAAACCATAGCAACAGCAACGCTTGGCCGGTCTGCTAGTTGTACTATAATTCTTTATACTTGCAGAAAGTGTAAAAAAATAATATAGAGAGTATACTAATAAATTGCTTGTTGCGGTGAGTGTGGCAATATGCAATGTATAGGGATTCAAAAATGTGTGTGTGTGAGTCATTAGGGATATTTCCTGCGAATATATATATATATATATATATATATAAATGACAATCATGTACAGACTTAATGTGTAAGAAATTTTTTTCATCATCAGCAAACATCAAGTAGTATACAGTTTTGAAACAAGTGAATAAATAAGTACAGTATTGGACCCAAAATGGATACTTGAGGAACTCCAGAGAGTCTTTCTATAAAATCACTTTTTACATAAATATTAGATACGGCTTGTCTTCTATTAGTTTTATAAAAACAGTACCACCATATCAGCTCTTACCAAATACTTTTCTTTGCAAGGTGACGTGATCCACACGATCGAACACTTTCTCTAAATCTGTTATTCTCGGAAGATTTAAGTAGATTCTATTGGAGGTAGAAAACAGTTTTGTCTTACTTTCTTTCTATTGTTAAATAACCAGATAAATAAAATAATTACTCAACGTTAGATATAATAGACAAATTTGTGTACGGTTATTAGTTTTTTTTTATTTAAAGTTTTGAATTATTAACGGTACCTGGTACTTAATGTGGTGTACATGATTCTGGCTAGAATTGGCCAAATCTTATGAGTATTAATATTTATGACGATTAATGTTAGGTTACTCAGGTATTGAGTTACTTTAAAACCTAAAAGTAAATACATTAGTATAAGTATATACAAAAGAAAACACGCAACATAATAAATAACAATATAGACCTGCATCAAGTAAC